TGCAAACCCTGCCCCCCTGTTGGGGTTCGCGTCGGCAGCACCTCTCCCCCAGCCCTGCCCGCTCCGCTCTTGCACCCCAGCCTTTTAGGAAAGGCAGCTTGGAGGGGCCCAGTTCTGGGTCAGAGATGGACGGTGGGTAAGGGGGACCCGCTGGGCCTTTGAGGGGCGTCCACGCATAGGGACGTGGAGGGCAGGGGTAGGAATGGCTGTTGGGCCCCTGGGGTCCCCCTCCCCCCAGCAGTCCTGCAGGGGCCCCCCAGGAAGTCAGGGGCCCCCCCAGGTCTGGGAGCAGCCCCCCCGCACCTGTGGGACAGAGGGAGGGAGCAGTTCTCCCGGTGGAATCTGGACAGTTTCCCTGGGGAACAGCGAGGAGAAAGGGCTCTGCGAACAGATCCCCGAGCAGATAAGCTGGCATTTAAAAGAGAAAGGGACACTGACCTCCTTTGAAGGGAGGTTTGAGGAGACAGCCCCACCCATCCTCCGCTGGGGAGGCTACTGGGGCCCTGGGGGAGCCTGGGTGCCCAGCCTGGGGTGCACCCTTCCCGGGGCCCCACCCCGCTGATAACCTCCTGCTCTCTCCCCTGCAGATGCCGGGAGCCTGGCCGAGGAGAAGGGCCTTCGCTGTCAGAACCCCGACTGCATGGACAAGGGGCGGGCGGCCAAGGTAGGGAGCTGGAGGCCGGGTGGCGGCCGAGGGGCAGGGCGCTCACCAGCCTCTGTCCAGGCACCAGCCAGGGCGCAGCTGGCTGGCCACAGCGCGTCTGGGCTCAGGAGTGGGTAGGGACCCTGGGTGGCTGGTTTCGGAGGCAGAGGGGCTGCCCCTGGCTCTGTGGCAGTGGAGTGTCTGCGAACGCAGGGGCAGCAGGGGTGCCCCAAAGCCCTTTTCTGTACTGCAGTTCGTGCAGCAGCCCTGGGGTGACAGGAGCCGTGGCCCCATGTCACAGATGAGGAAGCTGAGACTCTGTAGGGGGAAGGGCCCTCCCCCCCAGGTTCTGTTCCAGTGCCAGTTGGCACCCTCGCTGCAATGCCTGGGCACGGGTCAGGGACGCTCTGGGACAGTGGCTGTGGCCCTGGGACTGGCAAAGGGAAGGGACAGGCGGTCCTGGAGTGCCAGGCCTCGGGAGCTGGGAATGAGGCGGAACAGGGGGGATCATGGTCAACAGGATGCCGCAGTTCTGCCCGCCCCCCCCCCACCCCCCGCCCGACGTGCCGGGCGCTGTGCCACGCGCTCTCTGTGCCTTATGCGCCACTGTGGGAGCCCTGCTGGGAAGACATCATGGCCACGTTCCCCGATGGAGATACCAAGGTTCAGAGAGGTCCTGTGACTTGGCCGGGCCCTGCAGCTCGAGAGAGACCAAGCCAGGGTTTGAGCCCATGTTGCGCTCCTCCCAGCACGCATTTGCGCGACCAGTCCTTCTGGCAGAGATCTGTCCTGTCATTATTCCCGTTTGCAAATGGGGAAACTGAGGCTCGGGGAGGGCGTGGCTCACCCAGGGACACGTTGCTGGGATGTGGTGGAGCTGGGATTTGAACCCAGAGCCCAGATCTGTGTAATGCCAGAGCCCGTTTCCTAACCACGGTGTAGCTCGGCTCTGCCAGCTGCAGGAAATTAAAAATGCCACTCCCCCAGGTCCCTTGTCCCCCGCCCCCCCCGCACCCCCACGCAGACACGCAAGCGCACACGCCGCACCGGAGGACCACGGCTAGAAGGAACAGTCAGAAGGAACGCGGAGGCCTGTTCTGGGTGGGAGCGGAGGGGGAGGCTTCCAGTTGCCGTAGTCACCAGGCAAGGGGGTGTCTGTGATTCAGACAATCTGCTGGCGCGGATGGTGCCTGGCATTGGCGCTTTGGTTTTGGCAGGTTGCCTCTCTCCCAGATGGGGGCTCCTGGCAACAAATTGGCCTCATTACCCCCCTGTCCAACCTGCCAGGGGCCTGCACAGCCTGGGGGCTTCCGCCTGACCCTGAGGCGTGACAAGAGGGGCCAGCTCACACTGTCCTGGGCCCTCTTGTGGGCAGCTGCCCCTGGGGCAGATCCTGGAGCAGGGGCACGGGTGGGAGGGCCTGGACTGTGCAGAGGTGAGGCCTGTGGATGAGGGCTGGTTTCAGAGCAAGTGGGTCACCTCTGCAGCCACAGGTCCTAACTGAAGCCCAGCCTGGGCCTGCCTGGAACTCAGCAGGGCTGACCTTGGCATCAGCAGCCAGAGGGTTGCCCAGCCTGCAGGGGGAAGAGCTGAAGCACGGTCATTGGTGGGACCCACTTTGGGACACGTGGCACAGACTCACTTCTGGGACCTGTGTGATCAGAGGGAGGAGGGCTAGTCAGGGAGGACACCCTGGAGGAGGTGGCCTCTGGTGAAAGTAAAAACATCCACAGGCAAGCAGGAAGGGGGAACTGCCACAGGCGGGAGTACAGAGGCAGTTCTTGCCAAGCGGATGAGGTGGCTGGAGGAGAGGGTGAGAGGAGGAGCAAAGAATGTCCTATTGTTGATGATAATAGTAACCACCACTGACTGAACACGTTTCTGTGCCTGGTGGGGTGTCAGGCCCTCACTGAACTCTCGTGAGAACTTCAGGAGGAAAGCATGATTATTCCCTCACGACACGTGAGGAAACGGAGGCTCAGAGAGGTGACAGGACTTGCCCACACCACACAGCTTGATTGGCAGAGCTCGGCCTGGAGTGAGATCAAGAGCCTCCTCTCTGGCCGTTCTAGGAACGGCTGGCAGGATATATGAGCTCTTTGAAGGAGATGACATCATTCATTCATTCACCAAATCAGCTTTGAGCATCTGCCGGGCAGGCTGGGTTCTAGACCCTGGAGGTGTCTAGGAAACAAAGGTCCTGCCCTCCTGGAGCTGACATCCTCGCCCCCTGGGAGGAGGACGGAAGTGAGGCCTCGGCTTTGCCAAACTGGCCCCCAGGCTGCCCCGGGGCAGGGCCATCTTCCAACAGGGCTGGACGCTTCCGCTTCTGGGCCCACCCTGGAGGTTTTGTTTGAATCTCTCCTGGGTGCTGAGGCTTCTGACATGAATCAGCTGCCCCACCCCGACCTCCTTCCCCTGGAGTTCACGCCGAGGGCAGGGCACCAGGCCGCTGGCATCCTGAGGAATGAGGAGCTCTGAGGTGGAGGCAAGCTGAGTGAGCCAGCAGTATGTTGGGGCTGTGAAGGAGTGAGCAGGGCCTGGGGGACGGGGAGAGGGAGGCGGAGCTGGATGGGAGACCGCCGATGAAGATGTGTAGCCCGGCCAGACTGGCTCAGTTGGTTGAGCATCATCCTATGCATGACACTCAGAATCAGGGCACGTACCTAGCTTCTGGTTTGAGCCCTGGTCGGTGCACCTATAGAAGGCAACTGACGCATGTTTCTCTCTCTCTCTCTCTCTCTCTCTCTCTCTCTCTCTCAGCATGTCCTCAGGTGAGGATTTTTTTAAAAGATGTGTGGAGTAGCCCACATCTGTGACCTCCAGAGTCAAAGTCAAAGCCCACTCCCTCCCAGCTGCATGGTCCCGGGCAAGTCACTCCTCCTCTCTCAGCCTCGGTTTCCAGGTGGTTGTGCTGAGGACTAAAACGGCTCGCCCGTGTAGGTGCTTGGACAGACTGGCGCACAGTAGGTGTTCAAGAGAATGAATGCCAGCAGCCACCACGTGCTCACCCTCCACCGAGGGGGCGAGACCCCAGGACTCAGGCGCACTTTCCTTCCCCTCCCTAAGATCTGAGACCCCCCGGGTTCCACCCCAGACCCCGGCCAATCCCGCCCAGTGGACTCAGGTTTGTGGTACTTCTGTCTGTCCTGTTCCAAGGGCAAGTGGCGCTCAGGGTCTGGGGAGATGGGGAAGTGTTCTCTTCCTCCCTCCCTCACGGGGGGCCAGTGCTGATGTGATGGGGGCCCCACCAGCCGGACCGTGTCTGGCCCCCTTGAGCTGGGCTCTGGTCCAAGTCTGTTGAAGGAGACATGGAAGAGGGCTGACACTGGCCCCGGAGACACTGGGCTCTGGGCTAACTAACACATTTGAGGGGCAGAAGGCTTGGGAGTGCCTGGAGTGGGCCCCCCAGGGCGTCACCCTCAGACTAAGGTATTGGTCTAGCGGCCACCATTTCCTCAGCTGGGGGCCCTGTGTCTGGCTTCACCAGGGGACCCCAGCTGGTCCTCACACCCCTGCCTTGCAGTAGGCCCCACCCCACCTCCATCAGACAGGACACGGGGAAGCAGGGAGTGAAATGACTAACCAGGCAGGTCAAGCCAAGTCTGTCCCCGCCTCCCATTTCTAAGGCGCTGTCAGGAGGAAAGGGAGGTTTGTTTTTCCGCGTGGCTCCCAAGGGCCCTGGCAGGGAGGTGCGTTTGGTTCAGTAGAGGCCAGAGTTTGTGGCCCCTGAAACTGTTCCCCGATGGATAGGTAGTGAGCACCCCCTGCCTAGAGGTATTCAAGCGGAGAGAGTGGAAACTGGGTTTGCTGAACAATGGGTTGTGCGGTGGCAGGGATGAGGGTGTGTGTGTGTGTGTGAGTGTGTGCACCAAGGGGAGGGGCGGCCAGATGAAGACCCGTGGACACAGGGCAGAGGAAGGGTGGGCCTGAGGTCCCTGTGGAGGAAGAATGAGCAGGATGTGGTGAATAATGGGAGAGGTGGTCACCTATTCTCCCGTGTAGCCCTCTTGGGGATAAGAGGTGGAGGTCAGGGTGCCCTTGACAGTGGCCAATTCTGGGGTTCCCTGGAGGTAACTGGTCTTTTTAGATGCTGGTCAGCTGTAGAAGGTGGCAGTCCAGTCTGTACCCTGACAAAGGGGGAGGACTAGGTGAAGGCCTGGGTGCCTGGCCCAAGAGACAGAGACAGAGGACCCCATCCATGTGACTGGCGTGGACCCAGCCCCCAGGAAGGCAGCCCCTGCCAGCAGGGGGCTCGGGGCTTGGTGAGGGCCTGAGGGGTGTGGTCTGTGATTGGGAAAATGCTTGGGGGGGTGGGTGGGGGGCGGGCCTGCGTGAGGCTCCCGGAGTCTCTGGCTCCAGACCCGCCCTGGTGGCCGAGGTCACTGCACCCACCTCAGGGGGGAGGAGGAAGGTGTGCTTGGGGCAAGGCTGCTGCCTCCTCCGCGGTGCCCTGTCTCCCCACGCACCGCCTGCACCCCAAGTTCCCAGCAGAGAGGGAACCACCAAAGGGCGAATGGCCCCCTTTGCAGCCCTGCATCGTGAGCCAGGAAAAAAAAGGGGGGACACACGGCCAGACGGCCAGACGGGTTTCGCAGGCGCCATAGAGGCGCAGTTCCGAATCCAGCCATTTATAGTGGAGAGGAAGCGAGCCTGGCTCGGGGCGATTCCCAGGGCGGGCTCTGCCTCCGGGTCCCTTTGCCTGGACCCCTGGGGCCCCCTCGCTGGCCAAGGCAGCTTCCTGCTGTGAGGCCTCCCAGATGGGCGAGCTCCTGTCGTCAAGCCCAGGTTAAAGACTTTGAACTTCCCGGAGATCTGCAAAGGGCCAGCCCCCTTGGGAGCTGACAACCGCCCCCCCCACTCCCCGCTCCCCGAACCCTAGATTACTCCCTGAGCGCCAGCTGGGCTTCCTGCCACCCCCTGGGCCGCCAGGTCTGCCACCTGGGTCCGGCACCCCCATCCCCGCCCGGGTGCGTGATGGTACATCCCGACCCGCCCAGGTGGAAGCGCCGGGCCCTCTA